CAGGAGAGCCGTCGACAGAACTTAAACCCTCTCCTCTTTCAATGAAGTAGCCGGTGTGGAAGCATTTTGGATTTCCAGTGAGTTATGTTGACAACGTTCGTGTTGTCGACAAAAAAAAAAACACAGTTTTGCAAGATCTGCTATGTACGTATTACGTACGGTTCGTCCGATAGACAACACCGGCATCGCGATCCTCCGCCCGCCCCCGTTGCAAATCCGCTCGCGAAAAGTACACACTCAGGCCCTGTTTACACTGTCTTTGTTTTTAAATGGCATTTTAGAACGACAACGATTTGACATCCACAGTGGCGTGTAGCATTTCTGAGCAGCCCTCCTTCCTCTCTACCTCTGAAAATGCACATCACGTGACCACACAGACACAGACGCACACACAGCCATGCGCTCCAGACAGCAGGTTCAGGCAGTCAGAGGACTGCTTCAATCTTTCACTCACTTGTACTTAGTCATTTTAGCGAACACCTCAGATACTGTTGGCTGGTTCCTGTTGGTTGTGTGTCTTTTTTACCGACGAAATTATAACGACACAGATCACTGCCTATTCACGAGTCCCGCAGAAAAAGTGATTGACAGGTGGCAATTATGTGTGTATCTTGCCTTTATTCATTTACTGTATGATTTGTTTATGGGTAAAACAAAGACCATGCAGGTCAGGTAGTTTAAACGGTAGGCTACAAATTATTAATTGGTCATTAATTAATTATTCATAATCGAAAATCGAATCAAATCGTGCCTTTAGAATTGAAAATGTAATCGAATCAAGAATTTGGAGGATCGTGACACCCTTAATGATAATAACATAATAGGTCTGTAATAATGGATAATAACGGGTTTCTCAGTAGTGGAAGTCATAATAGTTGTCAAACTTAAAGCGCAGTAAATGGAAGAGTACAACAAGTAATGTTTTTACAATCCTATTTACTTAACTAGTAAAAGAAAAACTCTAGATGTTGTTATCAAGACTTTCAGAAGTAGGAAAACAACAGTGTTTACATTCCTGCCCCCATACACACTGCATTACACACACCTCACACAAGCAATCATTCGCTTTTTGGTGATATAATACAGATGCATACATTCAAAATCGATCAATTCTGCCACCCCTAATTTGTGCGTTTGTTTAAAAGTTGGAGCGCAACCGCAGCTCATCCTTCAGATTCTGACGGGCTTCTTCAAGCTGTGTTTGGAAACGTCCTTATGTGATTTTGACAGCTGTGACTGAGGCTGTCTGAGCGAGAGCTTAAGATTAGTGTGTAAATATCTCAAGTATGCCAACCACTCATTGTCTAAAGCGAAGCTTGCTCTCGAGGTGCCGACTGACAGGCTAAGCTCATCTGCCTCGGTGACCTCCCGTTTTACTCCGTCCACACTGATATGTATGCGATGGGCTTAAGGACAAGGCGCTATATCTCTTTACACTTATCTATTATATTTTACGCATCAGTCTTCTGGAACTTCCCCATAAAATACAAGCGGGATCTGTTTAGATTGTGGAGGTTATGAACTTCTGATTCAAATACTACGAGGAATAAAGAGAGTTATATATTGCTTTCTTTCGAAGCAGAAGGAGAAATGTGCATCTGGATGCATTCAGTTATGGGGTCAGGTTTCTGTGGGAACGAACTCTGTTGACGGTCCCCAATCAGCTAAAGGAATAAAATAAGTTAGAATCCTCATCCTGAATGACATCATCTGAATATTGTGCTAGTAAGCCCATATTAGCCTGTATATATTAGTCTCCTTCATGTGCATTATGGTGGAGAGATAGCAGAGTTTCTGTGATGGTAAAATGGGGTTTAATTCACCAAAATTTGAGGCAAGTATGATCGGAATCGGTCTAAAAATAACATAGCATATGATTTATTAAAGATGCAAGTCATAAACACACACCCACGAAAATTCACCATTTACTCACACTGGACTATATATTATTTCAGCATCGATATCGCAAAGTGCGCATCCACAATGGTCACATCGCAAGATATGCAATGTTGAGTCTGAATTATAGTTGACCAGGAGATACAGAACACATTTGAAGTCACTGCAGAGTTTAACTATATTAGAGTGAAAGTCTGCCATTCGCAGTTTTGATCCGTAACAATGATTAATTGTATTGAATTATTTACACAGAATTTCTGCAAAAGTTTCTAACTCTGAATTTTTGTCTGATATCTAGTCCAAATATCAACATTTCAATGCAAAAACAAGATTATTTTCTTACCACATTGGCAGATATTTTAGCTTGTTTCAGTATTATTAAAATATATATATATATATATATATTTAAAATGTATATTTTTCCAAATATTTCAAACATCCAAATAATATATATATTTAAAAAAAATTATTAATAATAAAAAAATTATTATATATATATATATATATATATATATATATATATATATATATATATATATATATATATATATTTATTCATTTTCTTTTCGGCTTAGTCCCTTTATTAATCGGGGGTCGCCACAGCGGAATGAACCGCCAACTTATCTAGCAAGTTTTTACGCAGCGGATGCCTTTCCAGCCACAACCCATCTCTGGGAAACATCCACACACACACACACACACACACACTCATACACTACGGACAATTTAGCCTACCCAGTTCACCTGTACCGCATGTCTGGACTGTGGGGGAAACCGGAGCACCAGGAGGAAACCCACGCGAACGCAGGGAGAACATGCAAACTCCACACAGAAACGCCAACTAAGCCAAGGCTCGAACCAGCAACCTTCTTGCACTACCTACTGCGCCACTACTTCGCCCCATATATATATATATATATTAGTGGGTTTTCAGTAAGTAAAAAAACTCTTAATTTCGACTTATTTCTTCTGTAGGTGAAAGCTAGTGATGTAACTGATCACAAATCTCACGGTACGAATAAATATAACACCAAAAATCTCATGTGTTTTGTATTCTGGTCACCTATAATCCCAACTCAACATTGCATACATTTGCGATGTGAATATTGCGGGCGCACACATTGCGATATCATTGCTCGAAAGATATATATCATGCAGGCTCACAATATAGCAAAAATGTCATGTTTTTTGGGGTAGTTTAACAATATTCAAATACAGAAATTGCATAATGAAATCTAAAATAATACTGAATTGAGCTTATTCTTCACCTACGAGCAGACGCAGACATTAAATCTTTCAGGCTCTACACTTCCACTCTTATTCACTTCCATTTTCCAGACGTTAAAAACAGCTTGTTATGTTGCAAACTAATATTTTCTTATGATATTAATCTACTTTTCATGTATAGTCATGAACGCACTTGTTTGTAGAGCCAGTAGTTTGACCGTTCCTACTCCTCCTCCCATAGACAACTTAATCAGAAGCTCTAAAACACGAGCGCACTTCCACATTGCTAGAATAAGGTCAATAGTCTTGATTGTATAAATAATTTCTACAATTACAATGTATTTGTTCTTGAATATTATTAATAATAATCTCTCTTGAAATGCTCACACACTAAAAAAAATGCATGCAGAAACTGAACTTTCCCTTCGTTGAAAATACAACACCACAAATCTCATGTGTTCTGTGGCTTTTTGGTCGACTATAATCCCAACATAACTCGATATTGCAAATCCTGGGATGTGATTATTGTGGATATCAATGCTCAAAGGTTTGCAGGTACACCCCAAGGCGATGTCGAGGGGTGGTATGAAGCAGGATAATTTAAGCGGTAGACCCTTCCCACAACAACACTCTATGGGCCGAAGAACAAAAGAGATCTGGGTACCACAACTGCTATGCATCGCGTCTGTAAGGAGCAGCCATTAGGCTAATGAGGGCCTATGGAGGTCCCAATGAAGCCATCAGCATTCACTCAGAATGACAATGTAAGACTAACGCCTCGGGATCTGAATGGAAGGGATTGGGAAGGAGGGACGAGTGAAAAGAAGCGGAGAGGCCAAGGAAAACTTGTGCGAGTGTCTGAAGGGAGGAGGGAATGGAGGGGGGGGAATCGTAACTTTTCACTCAAACGCTTGGCCGGGTCCAATCAAATCACTCTCCGATTCAGACGAGGACTTGAGCTCTGGGATAAACAATGCTTGTAAAATGTGTTGATTTGGGGAGATGGCTCAGAGTTTGGAGCAAAAAAAAGAAACCGGGAATGTTTTTTTTTCTTGCTGAAAAGACCCAAGCGTTCATTCTCTTTTTCTGCAGAGCGCTGACGCATAACACGGCAGCAAAGCCATACATGAATGCCCGCTGAGTTCTTTGCAAATCGGGTTGAAAAGACCCAATGCTGGGGCTAAAAGGGCAGTCAACCTTTCCCAGACACGGACACAAACTCAAAGCACATCTATAGGGAACGACCAAGCAATCTCGGACACCCAGATAGAGTTTCACCGTGACAGACCTCTTCTATCCGACCAGACTAATCTTATTTAAAGAACGCTAAACAAGTGGCGTCTGAAAATGCTTAATTACAGCCCAGTGGCAGGCAGCGGTGAATTAGATTCACGGGGTATTAGATCAATTAGCCAAGTATTTCACCAATTCACATGAGCGTATTCAAACATCGAAATGTGGCTGCAAAATGCCAGATTTTGGCAAATCTGATCCAGCAATAACCGGACATGATCGCTCAGAGCACAGTTAAATGAATGCAAATCTGTCTGATAGCTTAAGTACACAATTAAAACCAATTAAAAAGTTTAAAAGCTAAAACGACAACAAGTCATAGCATGTATTTCTTAAATAACGTGAAATTACTCAAATGCATCGACTAAATCTAAATTTCCATCATTTTTTTTAACACTTTTAACAAAATAAACAGCTCATAATCATACAGAACATGATTAAAACAGCACTTAATCACTGTGAATCTTTAAAAATTGTGTTTATAAGAAAACTTGTTGGTTCATTTCTATCGAAACTCACATTTGGAGCTCCTAAAAAAACTCCAGAGATGCACGAAGACTGATAGTGTGTTTAGAGCCACTCACCGTTCTTGCGCTCGGAGACAGGGCGCCGTTGGACAAGTAAGGATTGGCGAGATCTGGGATCATTAGAAACGGGTAGCCAGGATAATGGGGGCTCTTAAAAAAGCATCCATCTTGCTGTCTTCTCAGAGCTTGACGGTGGAGAGAGGAATGATTACGGATCAGGGTAGACACAAAAAGTTAGGCAAAGATCTAGTACGGCAGGCGGATTTAACATTGATTGCAGATGTTGATATTTTAGAGTCATGCAGTAATGACACCTCCGCATTAAATTTACAGACTCTTCCCTCAATTTAAAACACATGCATATTTAATAATACAAAATAGGAACACAATATTTAAATCTGCAAAAACGTGCGCATATTTTTACAGACACTTCAACTTTAAAACATTAAAGAATTTAAAATAATATACATATTTAATAACACAACACTAATAAGTGAAGTGTAACACTTCACTCAACTTTAAAACAATACAGAATTTATAATAATATACATATTTAATAACACTAAACACTAATAAGTGAAGTGTAACACTTCACTCAACTTTAAAACAATAAAGAATTTAAAATAATATACATATTTAATAACACTAAACACTAATAAGTGAAGTGTAACACTTCACTCAACTTTAAAACAATACAAAATTTATAATATAGATATTTAATAACACTAAACACTCATAAAAACATTTAAAGCTTCCAAAAAAAGTGTATGTATTATTACAGAGACTTCCTTAAACTTTAAATCAATGCAAAATACAAAATATTATACATATTTAATATCATTAAACACTAATTAAATGTTTAAAAGCTGCTAAAAAGCGTACACATCTTTACAGACAGTTCCCTCAACTTTAAAATAATGCAGAATTCAAGATAATATACATGTTTAATAACACTAAACACTAGTATTTTTAAAGCTGCCAAAAAGTAAATCTGTACAGACAGTTCCCTCAACTTTAAATCAATGCAAAATTGAAAGTAATATGCATATTTAATAACACCAAACACTAATACAACTTTGAAAAGCTTCCCAAAAAGTGTATGTATTATTACAAAGACTTCCCTCAACTTTAAATCAATGCAGAATTTTTAATAATATACATATTTAATATCACTAAACACTAATAAAATTTTAAAAAGCTGCCAGAAAGTGTAGGCATCTTTACAGATACTTCCTTCAACTTTAAAACAATGCAGAATTTTAAATATTATATATATTTAACAGTACTAAATACTAAAAAAATAAATATACTAAAAGTGTACAAGTAGATGCTTTTTTATTAATACTATTAGCAATTATTTAACCACTCAAACGTATTAGTGACAGCTTGATTGTTACTCATAATTACACCTCATTGTTGCTGGCGACAAATGTGCAATTTCTTGGAATAAAATATGTATAGATTGTAAAGTTACTACCTGTTCACTTTCAAATTGTCTGTATTGGTTTCTGCCACATAATGTTGTTTTTCATAATTATATTCATTCATTAGTAACTATATTTCACAAATGCTTATTTGTGAAATCATTTCTATCCCTAAAAGTGTACATATCTGTACAGACACTTCCCTCAACTTTAAAACGATAGAGAAATTAAAATAATATACATATTTAATAATACTAAACACTTATAAAATAAAACATGTACATGTTTTTATTTAACATTCGTAACTAATCCAATAAATAAAGTATATGCATTTTATATTAACACTATTAGCAACTATTTAACCACTGAAGCTGTCACTAATATTACACCTCATTGTCACTGGCAACAAATGTGCATTTTATGGATTAAAATATGTATAGATTTTGGATATTGCCTGTTCACCTTCAAATCATCTGTATCGGTTTCTGCTACATAATCTTGTTTTTCATAATTATATTAATTTATTAGTAACTATATTTCACAAATGCTTATTTGTGAAATCATTTCTATCCCTAAAAGTGTACGTATCTGTACAGACACTTCCCTCAACTTTAAAACAATAGAGAAATTAAAATAATATACATATTTAATAATACTAAACACTTATAAAATACAACATGTACATGTTTTTATTTAACATTCGTAACTAATCCAATAAATAAAGTATATGCACTTTATATTAACACTATTAGCAATTATTTAACCACTGAAGCTGTCACTAATATTACACCTCATTGTCAAAGGCAACTAATGAGCTTTTTTTTTTAATTAAAATATGTATAGATTTTGGATATTACCCGTTCACCTATAAATCATCTGTATCGGTTTCTGCTACATAATCTTGTTTTTCATAATTATATTCATTTATTAGTAACTATATTTCACTAAAGCTTGTTTGTGTCACTGAAATCATTTCTATCTCTAATTAAAAGTGAAACATTTACATATTTTTGCACAACTTTCAGTTGTTTTAGCAAAAAAGGCTCCTTTAATGTTTAAGTAGCATTACTACAAAATATAATAAATATGTGACAAAAATAATCTTTGAAGCAAAGTACTATTATCCAATGAATGATTATCAGTTAGATTGAAAACAATATTGTGAGTACTATCAACAATGACATACACTTAAAGTACACTTAAAATACTATTTTACTGCTGGTTCAGACTACTGATGTAAGATATTTGTTGAAACAACACATTTTTTACGGTTTTAATGGGGACAACTTAATTGTCTTAAGTTCAATCTACTTAGATTTGTTAAAACTATTAAGTTTACTTAATGAGTTGTGTTGGGAGAACATAAAGAAATTGTGTGGTACCCATAATTGTTTACAGAATAAAAACAGAGCTAGTTTTTGGGAAATAGTTGTTAAATCGGCATGCCACAGCTCTTACCTTCGGTGAAATACTCTCGGGCTTTCTCGTAACTTTCGAGATCTGCTCTTGGTTGAGGTCGCCTCTCGGTTTGCTGAAGGGAAGACGAAAAACAAAGCAGAAAAGTTATTTTTTCCGTCGGCAAACAACCACATCCATGCGCGTCTGTCGGCATGCGGTTGCGTCTGACTGAACTTACCTCAGAATCGGACGAGCTGCTGTTATTTTCCGACTCATTCACCAGAGACGACTTCACATCGTCCAGATCTCTCTCGGCGGACACGTTTTCGGAGATTTTGTCCTCCTGTTCGCCTTCATCTTTAAATGAGATCATTTCATCGTTGGCCCCGAGCTCGTCCCCTCCGCCTCCGTTAAGCTGCGGCATGTTTAACGTTACGGGCTTGTCTTGCAAACGGTCACAAAATCTAGAGTTTGTGTCGACTCTGAAGTGCACGGAAAACAGCGCAGTCCACTCAATGCGGGAATAAAACGTTCAGAAATAATCCTTGACGCATGTATTTAAATCCAGGTTGTCCATGTTTACCTTCGAGAAACGATCACACGGTATCCTTGTCGTAAACTCTGCAAACTCCCAGCAACCGCCGTGTCCTCGCTCGTTACTGCTTGCCGTCAAACTTACCAAACACGATTAAAAGTACTCGAAACAACTGTTGATTCTGTAATCCACAAAGCTAAAAGTTGATTATTGTTTTTCTTTTGAAAAACACGCACCCGTCAGTAGCATAGCGTGAACGCGCGTGCTTGATTGCAACAAAAGTTGTAACAACGGTCGCGGCGGCTCCGTAGTCTCTATCCCACAGACGTGTTTTAGTCAGATAAAACACAGATTCCTCCCGAATCAGCTGCTCGTTTCGTCCACGATGGGAATTACGACCGTCATGACTGCTAAGCGAAAGCACGGACACAGAAAACGGCGTGTTTGGACGCGGAGAGGATCCGTTTCCCTGTACGTTGAGCCGCTGATGGGGAATGCGCTAACAGCAGCGCGCCAGACTCTCTCTCTCTCTCCCTCTGTGTGTGTGTGTTAGCTGGACGAGCAGAATGCAGAGGAGGAGTTAAGCGCTGAAAAACGACACTCCATTCAACACACACACTCTCTCAAGAGAAGTTTAAAGGAACAGTTTGTTCAGAGCTTGATTCTTGAAATAGTTCAATGACACCAGGGCTTGGGATTGTGTTATTAAAGCAATATTGCAAGAACACGAGCGCGCCTTAATGTGCAGGCGCGTTCACCTCAACTAATTGAGGTGAACTAGTTTAGTCAACTGTTTTATGTTTACAACAATATTTTCAGTTTTGCTCAGAAAAAAACTTGGACAACATTTGAAGTGCATCTAAACTTTTCATCAATGTTGTCCTACAACTGGGGGTGGATTTAGGGATTTGGGGGCCTTAAGCAATTCCAGTTATGATGGTGCCCAACAGTCCTATATAGAGGTAAAGTTGTTTTTTTTTATTCGCACATTTGTTCATTAAGCAGTCTCTATATTGTTTACCATGCTACTTTGAATATTCGATCGGAATTAGCATGCCAGTATGACTTCTAAACAGCATTAACACTAATTGACTGTGAACAATGCTGTACTTTGATAGTCATTTGATGCTTATGTGATTTTCCTATAAAATTGGCAAAGAATAATTTTCTGAAACTACATTATTAAGGAGAACGCCTGAATATCCGAATATAAAACCACCTTTACCTCTATCAGTCCTCATATACCCTGTAGTCGCACACCTTTCGTGCACATCTTTATGTACCACATTTTGCAGCTAGTCTAACAACCAGTATTTGAAAAAAAAAAACGAGAGTAAGACTGAATCTTCTTTTAAAAAGAGTTTACTGAAGAAGTGCAAAACAAAAATACAAAGACTCAATATAGCTCGGTCAAAAATACTATGTTGCTTCCAACATCCATAACTGCAATCTGACCTTTATTTTATTTTATTTTATTTTATTTTATTTTATTTTATTTTGTTGACTTCAATAACAAAAATACAAAATCCAATCTTACACAAAAAAGACAATAACAGTAACAATGATAATAACTTAACATATCAGGTTAAATAATATTAAAACCACATAAAACAGTAGAAAAAGAAAAACAAAGGAGGACAAAACTGCAATCTAACCTAAACATACAAACGAATGACATCATGACGTATTACTGTCGGAAACCAAAAATACCAAAGTAAAGGTTTTAAATTGTATTAATTGTTAAATTATGCATTTTAGATAATACAATCACTGTGAATTCTTCATTAATTAATTCATTCATTCATTCATTTTCTTGTCGGCTTAGTCCTTTTATTAATCAGGGGTCTCCACTGCTGAATGAACCGCCAATTTATCCAGCATATGTTTTACACAGCGGATGCCCTTTCAGCTGCAACCCAGTACTGGGAAACACCCAAACACTCTCATTCACACTTATACACTACGGACAATCATGCTTACCCAGTTCACCTGTAGGGTCAGACGGAATCTGTTTTTTTCTATTTCTGCGGAGAGTTTTGGTAAAAATTTGCGGATTTCTGTGGAATTATTTTGGCAGTATCATAACTAAAACCTTAATATATGAAATAAATATCTTTTTAACTTTTATTTAATGTTTAAAATGCAAATCCAATAAGATTCACTTTACTTGGTAAACAAAGCAAGTTTGTCATATAATATGTCTAGTAAAAAACAGAAAATAGTTCAAACTGCACTGTACATAAATCAGATGAACATTTTCACATTAGTCAATAATATTACTGAAATTAATTTAAAAAGTGAATAAATATAGATTTACGCACATTTACTCAAGAAAATAAACAGAATTAATGATGGGCTGAAAACCTGTGGAATTCTGTGCGCAGATTCCGGGTGGGCCTAAGCACATATCTGTAGACCGTGGGGGGAAACCGGAGCACCCGGAGGAAATCCACGTGATCACGGGAAGAACACAGAAATGCCAATTGACCCAGCCAGGGCTCGAACTTGTGACCTTTTGGCTCTGAAGTGATCATGCTACCCACTGTGCCAAAGCGACGCCTATTGATCAAATTAAATAGTATATTTATATATATTTTTGCCATTTACAAAATACACTACAAAAATTATTACTTGAACACACCATTATGCAAGGTAGCACCGTGTTTAAAGAGGAAATTCACACAAAAATGAAACTTCTGTCATCAATTACTCATCCATCACTTCAAAACCTGTTTGAGTTTCTTTCTTCTGTTGATCACAAATTATGAAATACTGAAGAATGCTGAAAAACAAACAGCTATCTGTTCTGAGTCTGTTCTGTGCTTTCGCTTTGTTTAGGCATGAAACACTTTATACACCTACATAACCTATACGTCTATATAAGGTCCCAGGGTTGACAGTGCATGTCACAGCACAAACCAAGCATGAAGACAAAGGAATTGTCTGTAGACCTCCGAGACAGGATTGTCTCGAGGCACAAGGCTGGGGAAGGTTACAGAAACATATCTGCTGCTCTCAAAGTTCCAATGAGCACAGCGGCCTCCATCATCCGTCAGTGGAAGATGTTTAAACCCCCAGGACTCTTCCTAGAGCTGGCCGGCTATCTAAGCTGAGTGATCGGGAGAGAAGGGTCTTAGTCAGGGAGGTGATCAATAACCCGATGGTGACTCTGTCTGAGCTCCAGCGTTCTTCTGTGGAGAGAGGAGAACCTTACAGGAGGACAACCATCTGTGCAGCAATCCACCAATCAGGCCTGTGTGGTAGAAAGGCCAGACGGAAGACACTCCCTGCCTGAAATTTGGCCTCTGAAGGACTCTCAGACCATAAGAAACTAAACTCTCTGCTCTGATGAGACTAAACTTGAACTCTTTGGAGTGAACGCCAGGCGTTACGTTTGGAGAAAAGCAGGCAGCGCTCATCACCAGGCTAACAGCATCCCTACAGTGAAGCATGGTGGTGGCAGCATCATGCTGTGGGGATGTGTTTCAGCAGCAGGAACTGGAAGACTAGTCAGAATAGAGGGAAAGATGAACGCAGCAATGTACAGAGACATCCTGAATGAAGACCTGCTTCAGAGTCGCCTTTATGATGAGATTCTTAAACGGAGATTCTATCACTCATTGATGCAATGTCAGACACAATGCACTCAAATGGAGTGAGCGACGCCACTGTAAGGGGTAGAGTTAGGGGTGGGGTTAGGTAAACCCATTAAAAAGCATTGGATGCAACCCAGATTGCACTGCACCAGGTCTGCATCCAGACCCTGCTCCTCAGACTGGGGCGACGGTTCATCTTCCAGCAGGACAATGACCCAAAGCACACCGCCAAAATATCAATGGAATGGCTTCACAACAACTTGGTGAATGTCCTTGAGTGGCCCAGCCAGAGCCCAGACCTAAATCCTATTGAACATCTCTAGAAAGATCTGAAAATGGCTGTACACCGTCGCTTCCCATCCTGATAGAGCTTGAGAGCTACTGCAAAGAGGAATGAGATTTCCAAAGACAGGAGTGCCAAGCTTGTGGCATCATATTCAAAAAGACTTGAGGCTGTAATCGCTCAAGGTTTTTTTTTTTTTATTAAATTTGCTACAATTCATTAATAAATAGTACAACTTTATTATTGATTTTTTTTCTTCCTTGCTTACTTAACACATAAAAAATTATGGAAATTTATTATGGAGATTATTATTAAGCAACCTAAAGTGTGGCTTGCTGGTTTTAGCACGACAAGACAGTTACAGATATAAATATATTTTTTATATTAGGGATTAAAAACATCGGCACACAACTTGCTCTATTTGTTGCACTGGCATGATTGATGCATAATTTATTTGATTTGTTTTTAACTTGTGTAAAAAGCAAAATATGCAGCGCTTTGACCGGAAGCAAAGTGGGAATGAGAAAGGCAAAGAAGTCAGGAAAGACCAACAAGTCGGGAACCAAACTTGAGTTCCCCAAACGTAAACAAACAAATAAAACTCCCACACTGAAGGATGCATTTGTTTTGTTTTTGGGATTATGGTCAATAGTGAGGCTTTTTGTTCACTTGTCACGGTCCATCGATATCTGTGCATAAATCAATGATGTCATGCATTTGACTGTCAGTTGATGTGTTACTGGTCGCCCCTTAATTCAGCACAGATCACAAAAGAACAACTAGGGCGTAACCATGAATGAAGGAGGCAAAAGGAGCGTTCGCCCCCTCCAAACACTCAACAATCTCTAAACAGGCCGCTCAGAATTCAGCAGAAAGATCCACAGATTTCCACAGAATTGCAACACTTATCATTCTGAACATCTCGTTTTGATTATTAAATCGATTTTGCTTTTTAGCTCTCCGCTTGGTTTAACGTGTTTTGTCACATTTTTAATACTGATAAAAATATTAAATGTATTTCTGTATTTAAAAAAAGACATAGAAAGTTATTTATATGCCGATTTGACTATATTAAATATGCTATAAACCATTTAAATGCGGTAATTTCATTGGCCCATGAACATTTCCTGCTTGTCGTCAAACCATTTCATAACAGTAACAAGAAGTGAGTGACGTTAAAATAGCTGCCATAACATAACTTGTCAACCTTTTGGGATTCTCAGAAGCTATGAAAATGTAAAATGTAAAACAAAAAATACATTCGGACCATTGTTTTTGTTTACATTCCTCAAAATGGTCTATACAGGCAAGTCCTGCACTGCAAAATATGAATAAATATAAGAAATAAATTAAAGATTTAAGAAGATGCAGACTAGAAACAAGTCAAGTGATCTGCTATAGTGAGATTATTATACTAGATAAGAGTTTTTAAAATAAATAAAAGCTTAAGTAGACTTTAGTGAAGAGTGTCTTAAAATAAGTAGTTAGTTATAAACCAAGTTTTAGAGCAACAGTTCTTGACCAAAGAGCTATACAAAACAAACACAAAGAAATTTACATGAAAATTATACTGTTTTTCGAAGGACATCCTGGCATTATTAATGAACACAGAGAGTTAGGACTTCGGTTTAACGTCTCATCCGAAGACGGCGCTCACTGACAG